GTCTCTACGATGTCTACGAAGACTGAAGAATTCTTTTTGACATTTTTGATTGTCAAAGATAAATCAGGAGAAGGACTTTTCACTTCGCTCCAGCTTCATTGGTAGAACTATAGTTAGACATTGATGATGTGAGGGGATAAGGATATGACAATGGATCCAATATGAAAGGAAAAAATAAGGGAGTTCAAAAGAGACTGCTAGAAATTATTCTAAGGGCATTCTTCACACCATGTGGTTGTTACAGTCTGAATCTTGTGCTATGTGATATAGCATCTTCTTCTTCAAAGGCTCTGTCATTTTTTGGAATTATTCAACGAATATACAACTTATTTTCGTCTTCAACAAACAGATGGGACATATTCAAGGAGATTGTTACAGGTTTGACCCTTCAACCGTTGTCTCAAACACGTTGGGATATTCATGTTAAAAGTGTCAAAGCAATACGGTTTCAAGCCTTAGAAATCTGAGAAGCTTTGGTTTACTTGGCTAAAAGTACTGACAACCCAGGAACACGAAGTGATGCTGAATCTCTTGGCAAAATTTATGTCGTAAAGGGCAAAATTTTGCTGTAAATACATCATCATTTTCTATTTCATTCACAACAACATCATTCAAACACAATAACAAAAAAAAATATAGATAGAGAGAGTTTTTGAATTTTATTCAACATGTCTATATACGAGCTAAGAAGTTGGATGTATATGCGAAAAGACTCAGAAGGGGCGTTGACAAAAGAATTCAAAAACGGGTTAGAAATATTCATATATCAGGCCACAAATACGGAGAGAACCAAAGAAAGCGGGAAGATGTTTTGTCCTTGTCTGAAATGCAAGAATACAAGGTATACTCTAATCCAAACAATGTGGACGCATTTATTAAATAGAGGGTTCATGCCGTAATATTTTGTTTGGTATCAAAATGTAGAAAGATATGGCAGTAATGTTCATGGGAATGCTGGTAGTAGTAGTAATTATCAAAGTCATGTTGAATTTGATGAATCAAATGATTATCAGCCTAATCAGTATCAATCTGATCAAGGTCCAGGTCATGATAGGATATATGAGATGGTTACAGATGCATTTCATGAAATGCATACTGGTAATGTTGTTGAGGAACCCAATGTAGATGCTAAACGATTTTATGATTTGTTAGACAATGCTAATCAACCAATCTATGAAGAATGTAGAGAAGGTCAGTCTAAACTATCGTTGGCAGCTAGGATGATGTCAATTAAAACTGATCATAACTTAGGTGAGGTTTGCATGGATGATTGGGCTGATCTTATGAAAGAGTATCTCCTAGAGGATAATTTGACAGCGGCAACATACTATGATATACATAAGTTGATTTCTAGTCTTGGTCTATCTTCTAAGATGATAGATGTATGTGTTGATTTTTGAATGATTTTCTGGAAAGATGATGATAAGCTGCAGGAATGTCGATTTTGCCAAAAACCAAGATACAGACCGCAAACTTCTGGGCATAAAAAAATATTGTACCAACGGATATGATATTTTCCTATAACTGATAGGTTGAAACGCCTCTATCAATCTGAATTGAAAGCTGCATCGATGAGATGGCATGCAGAACATACACAAGTAGATGGAGAAGTTACTCATCCATCAGATCCAAAAGCGTGGAAATACTTCAATACGGTATACCCAGATTTTGCTAAGTTCAAACAGAATGTCTATCTTGGTCTGTGCACTGACGGTTTTAGTCCATTTGGTATGTCTGGTAGACAATATTCTTTATAGCCAGTAATCCTGACCATTTATAACCTTCCTCCAGATATGTGCATGCAAAGTAAATTTATTTTTATGAATATTTTGGTCCCAGGTCCCAATCATCTGAAGAAATCTCACGATGTATATCTGCAGCCACTCATACATGAGTTGAAACAGTTGTGGTATACTGGTGTTCGAACATATGATTGTTTGAAGGAGAAAATTTTTGCTATGCGAATTGTGCTTATGTGGACAATAAGCGATTTCTCCGCATACGGTATGCTATCAGGATGGATTACACACGGGAGGTTATCTTGTCATATTTATTTTTGATCGAACTGGTGGGTTTCAGCTAAAACGTGGTAGAAAAACATGCTGGTTTGATTGTCACCGCAGGTTTTTACCGGAAAACCATCCATATCGGAGGAACAAGAGGTTATTTAGGAATAATAAAAGTGTATGTGTCCCTCCACTCATATATATTAGTAGGAGCTGATATTGAAGTGCAAATCGAGCACTAGGGGCAGAGGAGACAATAACTCGTGGGGGAAACTGGCACACTCCAGCAAATATGCCTGAAGGTTACGGAGTTCATCATAATTGGCACAAGAAAAAGTATTTTTTGGTAACTTCCGTATTGGAAAGATCATCTGCTCAGACACAATCTTGATGTCATGCACATTGAGAAAAAAAAATTTTGATAACATCATGCATACAATGATGAACGTGTCGGGAAGAAAAAAAGACAATGGTAAGTCAAGATTGGACTTGCCTGAATTATGCAATAGAACTGAATTGCATATACTGAGAAATGGGAAAACACCGGTTCCTGTAGGTTGAGTGCAGAACAGAAGTCAGATTTATTTAAATGGCTTTCATCTGACGTTAAGTTTCCTGATTGGTATGTTTCTAATCTTTCTAAATCTGTTGAGAACGGGGTAAAATGTCACGACTGCACGTGTTTATGCAACGATTACTCCCATTTGCATTTGCTGAACTCTTGCCCAAAAATGTTCATGAAGCTGTTGGAGGTAAATTATTACTACTATATATTAACTACACTTTATTCCTATTATAATATGTACATACCAAATTTTGAATATAATCTATATATGTACTAATGCAGACATTGGCGCTTTTTCTGGGATCTTAGTACACGAACATTATCAAATGATCTAATAGCACAACTGGCAGCGAATCTTCCACTCTTGTTGTACAATTTAGAAAAGATATTCCCGCCATCATTTTTTGTGTTATGGAACACCTTCCCGTTCATCTCCCTCACGAAGCAGAGCTAGGTATGTGGACGGTTCAGTACAGGTGGATGTATCCATTTGAGCGTTTCATGAAACATCTTAAGGGTAAAGCCACAAACCTAGCTAGAGTGGAATGTTCAATTGTGGCGGGCAGCTTAACTGAGGAGACTTCGCACTTCACTTCGTACTATTTTTGCACCTAAAGTACGAACACGCAAAAGAGCTACCCGTCGATATGACGATGGCGGATTTGACCAAACATATGCAGTTGAGGGTGTACCTGACATATTCTCGCCGATCGGACGTCTTAGTGGAAAAGTAAAGGAAGTTTGGTAGTCTAATGAAAAAGATTATCACAGCGCACATACGTACATCCTGCTAAACTGCGAAGAGTTGGCGTCTTACAAGAGGTATAAGATATGAACTAAGTTACAGCGCACATATCCCCGAGTTTGAGCTACAGGGATCTCATGGTTAACTGTTATTAAAAATGGCTCCCAGGGGAAAGATTGTAAGGGTTGAGGATCTTCCACTGCAACAAGAATCTTGATAGACCTGACTGAACCAGATATTGATGAGAATATATTCTTAATTGACCCTCAGAACATGCAAGTTGAAGATCTCCCCGATGATACGGAAGAAGAAGGTGATTCAGATGAATTTGATAAAAGCGAGGACGATGAAGAAGATTTGGAAGACGAAGGTGATGGTGATGAACATCAACAAAATGAATCTGAATGATTATCATGGTTTTTAGGATAATATTGTACTGATATATATATATATATATATATATGTATGCTGTAGTTTTGAATAACTTAGAATTTTTTTTCTTACTTTAGAACATTACGACGTTTTTACAACGGTTTCCAAACTCTAAACCCTGATTCAATATTGTGTATGTTGATTTGTGGTTAAGTATATTGATATGAGCATTACGACATTTTTACGACGATTCGTCGTAATTTCGTCGTAATATTACGATGATGTAGCGACGAAAAGACCAAATCGTCATAATTTCGTCGTAAAATCAAAATCTCAAATTTTGAAACCTTTATATTTGATTGGTTATTTACTATATCACAAATATTTTTGATGGGTTATCTTATTTTATATGAAATGTAATCATTCTAATAAAAATTTAAAATTTGAAAAAAATAATACATATTTGCAAGTTCATGCATGTTTTTATAAATGTTAAGTCAAAGTTTATGAATTGTATAGGATGATGGAAAACATTGTTACCTCATTTACCAAATCAATCATTTTGGACTAAGTAATGTCCTTATTCGAATATCTCAATTTAAAAGCAGTTTAGGAAGTTCATCAATGCAATTTTCCTTTTCAGAAATTTATAGTTTGTTGATTTTTTTTTTCAAAATGATGATTTTTTTCAAAATTGTCGTAATTTCGTCGTAAAATTACGACGAAATTACGACGATTGTTCATCAAACCGTCGCAATATCATCGTAAAATTCCGTCGAACTTACGACATAATCTCAGTCATGTGTTTTCCAGATCTGAGGTACGAGGTAATAAATGACTACGTATTACGACGATTTTATGACGAAACCGTCGTAAAAGTGTCGTAATGTTCACGCGGTGTGAGTTGGCCACGTGTCGTTTCATTCATTGGGTTGTTTTTATTACAACGGTTTTACGACGACCACAAAATCTATATAATGGATGCAGATTTCCTTCCTCCTTAGCTCATTTCTCATTTCTCTTTCTCTCTCTAAAATCTCTAAACACTCTCTCTCTCTCTCTCTAGAACTTCCCATCCTGTTCAAATTTTGTAAGTTTTCTTTTATATCTTTAATTTTTTATTTTATTTATATTTCGTTAAATAGAATTACGGTTTAGATAGGTTTGGAATTAAATAGGTTCGGATTAGATAGGTTTCGAATTTAGGAAAATCTAATATTTGTTATATCTAATATTTTTTTTTAAAAAATTATTTTACAAATTGCGATGGCTCCCCGAAGGTTTCACTATCGGAACCTTTTGGCTCCAGCAGATGGTAGCGGTCCGTCGGACTCTGCTACAGAGTCCGTCATCCTGGAGTATTAGTGAACGCAGGCCGCCGTATCTTTGAGCCCGGGATCTCAACTGGGTTTTGTTCCGTCGTCGCCTCCACCACCATCACCGCCAGCAGCGAAACCAGCCCTGATACTGCCTCCACCGTATGCACAATATACGGTTGAGAATTTTCTACAGCAGCTAGGTCGTGGCGGGATGAAGAAACTTGATCCGGACCGACCTGCGGGGACGTTTTGGTACGTTTTTAATGTTTTTATCAAAATTAAACATATATATATATATATACAATTTAAATATTGATAAATTAGATATCTAACAAATATTTTTTAACGATGTAGGTTTGGTGTTGACAATTGCGTCGGTCAGAGCATCTCCAATGTCATTAAGGGTTCTTCGTACAACCCTATACCAGCTTTAGAAAGCTGGACCAGGCCACTTACGACACTTGGTTCAAGTGTTTCGCGGTTAGTTTATAAATATAGATTGATTTATTTTAACATTACTTACATTAATTTTAAAATTATTTCTAACTAACTTTTTTTTTAAATTGCAAAAGTTGCATTGGGAACTTTCTGCACACGAACGTATGAAGACAGCATTTAGAGAGAAGGTCAAGCAGCGCCTCAACAACACCATTTCCGACTAGAAGAGGAAGTGGAAGGTTGATGGAAACCAGGCAAAGCCGGCGCCTATGGTTGATACTGTCTTGGAGGGTCTAGTGCAGAAATGGCTAGATCCGTATTCCCAGTCCATTGCCGCCAAGAGTTCAGGATCAAGGTTTGTTTTTAATTAATTTAAATTCATATGTGTTTACGGATATATATATATATATAATAATTAATATTTTATTAATATAAATTAGCAAATTTTTCTTTTTCAGAAACGCTAAAGATGATGTGGGGCAGCCAAAAAACGTCCCACACACTTCCGGTCAGGTCCCTTTTGTGGGGAGACGTTTGATGATGGTAAGCTTAATTAACAAATTTTTCTTTTGTATTTCAATTATTTTTATTAACATAGTCCATTTGATTTCGTAGGTTGAAAAAAACGGGGGAGAATTTCTTCCGATGACGAAGGTCTTCGCCGAGACCCACAAGAAGAAGAACGGCAAATTCACGGATCCTCGGGCAGAGGCGATCTACAACGCTGCCTGTGCGAGGATCGAGGAGCGACAGACGCAGCTCGCGCAGCAGGTGCCTCCGACGTCTCCCAGAGATAGCTCGGTCCAGTCCACACCGACCTTGACGGTGGCGGAGATGGACAAGATCTTGAAAGAAGTAAGTTTTAATTTATTTTTTCCTACTTAACGTCTTTAAATATAGGTGTTTTACTTATGTTTTTAACATTTTTTTTCAGGTTGCCCCTCGGAATAAGGACAGGATTTTAGGGATGGGATCCCTCCATGATACCCCAATCGCTTCTGCGACTGGTCATGTTCGGGCAGAGGATCCAGTGGTTATTCGCCAGGAGCTCCAGCAGATGCGGACGAACGAGACGGAGATCGACCAGTTGTACGGCCTCTTCGATATTTTGGACGCCGAAAAACTGTTGTTCGCGGCACAGTTGGACAGGATGTGGGTATCTGGAGTCCTCACCGCTTCTTCTTCATCCATAAGGAGGCAACCACCGGTGCAGACAGAAGAGGAGATGTTCCGATCTCTCGGGGTTGATCCTCCTAGAGCAGGGGACCAGCCACCAGAAAAATCCAACCGAAGAGCCGGCAAGCAACCTGCGATAGACGACATTAGTGTAGATTTAGGTCTTTGATAGGTCTTTTTGTAATTAATGTAATTTTTATTATTTTGAATTTTAATTAAATTTAAATATTAAATTTATTAATTACATTTTATTTTTATTTTAATTAAATTTTTTATTCAGTTTTAATAATTATTATTTTTTATTTTTTAAAAAAAATCGTATAATCGTAATAAAAGTATCATTATTATTTTAATATATCATCGTAAAATCATCGTAATATTACGACGATTTTACGACAAACAGAACAAAAAGTAATACGACGCAACTACGATGGTAACTTCGTTGTATAATAAACGACACTCATACGTCGGTTTTTTATGACGGATACGGTGGAAAACAAATCGAGGCAAATCGAAGTAAATTCGACATAAATATTACGACGCTTTTACGATGTAAATATACGATGATTTTACGACTGTTTTTGACCGTCCTAAATTTTACGATGATTTTACGACGAAATGTCTTTTACAACGATGTAATTACGATGGTTTTGAAACCGTCGCAAGTGCGTCGTAATAGGTGTTTTACAACGATTTTACAACGGTTTCGGCCGTTGTAAAAGGGTGTTTCTCTTATAGTGAGTTGTTGGTGATCTGTTTACGGAATTGAAAATTCTTCGAGTCTCACTACCAAATGATGTTCATAAGCCTATTGAAGTGCTTGATTTTTTGAATAAAATGGAGGATTGTTGTCTAAACACAGAACTTCCTTATCACATATTGTTGACCATTCTGGTATCGGTTGCCATTGCTGAAAGAAGTTTCTCGAAGAACGATTGAATGGGTTAGCTTTGTTACCAATTGAGACAGCTATGATTGAAAAACTCGACTACGAGAGTTTAATGACCGATTTGCACGAAAAAATGACAAGACTATATTTCAACAATAAACTATATGTTTTATTGGTGTTTTTTTAACTGTTTATGGAGTTTGATTGTTTTATGAAGTTTTCATTTTTTCATTTTTTTCTTTTTAGTTTTGAAAAAAAATATATGAAAAGGCATATTTTTAAAAATTAGCTGTCGGCATCTAAATTAATTAGTCTGGAGGCTTTATTTGTATTTGAAAGAACACTTCATTGCCAGAATATAAAGATCATGAAAGAAACAAGTGAAGATGACTGGTAAAATTTATTTTTTCTACATGTAGGCATTATAAAACTGACTAGGAGTAATTCGCAAGATCATGCCAAGAGCCAAAAGTTCTTATGGGTCTTGGTGTTTAGAACATAGCCTCCATTTTGACCTTTCTTCTGTACGCCAACACAAGTGCATTTGCTGTTCTCGATTAGATATTCTGCTGTGTCTACTCCTTTTGATCCTCTTAGAGACCCTCCAGGCCGCCTAGATCTGTCAATCCAAAAACCATCCTCACATCATTCTATGTTTGAAGAAATCTTTTCTTAGAAACTTCAAAATGTTTTTTTCCTTTGAAAAAGATATATTTATAAAACCGGCACATTTTCTCTCTAGCTTGCGGCGGGCTCTTGTTTTACAATTATTAAACCTATCAAAATTCATGATGAGAGAGAGAAAGAGAGAGAGCATACCCTAGAAGGGAGGATGAGATTGTCCTGCGTTGGCCAATGATGATAACATCAACCCCAAGTTTGTCACCATGAAGGAGAATAGCTGCAGCTTTGATGCCTTCCATATTTATACACTCGGTGTGCACACGCACCTTTGGCTGAGCGATTTCACATATCCGTTTCATCTGTTCAAGGAAATTCCCTTCTCCTTGACCAATCTCAGAGGCCAAAGACGAAGCAGAGTTTGCATTGTTAGCGTTAGCGTTAGCACTAGCAGCGGCCGGAGTGGACCCGCTGCTTGAGGAGGAGGAAGATATGGAGCTTGGTAATCTCAAGAAACTGGAGAAAGCGTTTTTCCACGAGCCACCATTGTTTTCGACATGGACGAGGATGAGCTCATCTTGCTCGAGCACGGCGTGTGAAAGAGCGTATTGAAGAGCGGCTGCAGATTCACGGGTCGGGTCAGCGATCACCATGATTTTGCGTGATTGTGGTGTTGAAGATGATCCTCTACGACCGGCTTCCATGCCCTTTGCCTCTTTCTTCTTCTTCTTATTATCTTTTTCTATAGCTTCACCACTTTTGATGTCATTGTAAAGGTTTCTTACAGATGTTTTTTTTCTTCTTTTGATTAGAGAAATTTACGGTACCTAAAACTCACGATTTGTTGTTACGGTTTGTGTTCATGTTTATCTCTGAATAAACAGTTAGGAAAGATTAAAAACACTTTACCGTTTTTTTGTGTGTGTGTTTTTCTTTCTTAGGTAGGCTAAAGGTAGGAGAGAGAGAGAGAAAAGAGAAAGATAATTGTGGTGGTGGTGGTTAGTCTCGTTCCTATTTTTGAGGAATACGTCACTTTTCTTTTGGTTAATTTTAGGCGTTACCAACTTCCAACACAACAGCACATCCAAATTCCACACCAATTCCATTTCTTTTTATTTGTTTCTGTTAAAGATGCATGCTAAATCTCCAAGTTTTTTTTTGGGTCAGAGCTAAATATCCAACTTCAATTTCGATTGGGACATCAAAAATGAAAGGAAAAAAAAAAAGCCATTTTGAAGATCAAGCGAAAAAAAATTTCAATGCTTTCCAGACGAAAAGGGAGGGCAATTCTAGGCTTTGGGCCGTAAGACCATGTTTATCAGAGACTTTTATTGGGTTTCTTGGTATATTTTAATAATAAAGTTAATTAGAAAAAAAAGAAACAATTTTTATTTAAGAATCTGAAGAAGAATCGATCTTCTAATGATGTGGCATGTGCTGGTTGGCTAGAGAAGAAGAAAACATTTTTCTCTCTCCTCATTTCCTTTCTTCATCTCTATATTTCTCTCATGACTCACCTCAATAAAAAAATATTATTTTTTTCTCCTCTTTTTTATTTATTATAAAATATTATTTGAAAACTCTATAAATTTCTCTGATAAACATGCTTTACAAGCATGTGCATTGCAAAAAATATTGATTATTTTAGTAATAAATGAAAATTAAGAAACTGGATAAGAAACAATATTTAAAATCATGATTATTGGAAGAAATTTATATGGGTTTTTAAAAAAAATAATAAAAGATTTAATTATACAATTATTGATAGGAAAATATTAAACATAGATAATTGATAAGAAAATATTAAATATAGAGTTTTTTGACATACAACTTGTCTGCATAGATTTTCAGTTTCCGAATTTATGTCATATATGCTCAATCAAATTAGCTTTTAATTGGTGATGTTGTTGTGTATCCCAAATTCTACGTCGAGCATCGAACATATCACCAATTATTGTTGGCATTTCTGTAGAGTACGAAAGATCCACATTTGATGTTGTGCTTCCTTTTCCTTGTTGGAATTCTGACTGATCAAATAAAGTATATCCGTCTCGTTCATTTTCTACTATCATGTTGTGGATATGATACATGCTCTCGTAATCTTCTCTATTTTTGTTTTATCCCAAAACAAAGCTGGATTTTCGACAATGGCAAATCGAGCTAGCAAGACTCCAAAAGCACGCTCGACATCTTTTCGGACAGCTTCTTGACGTTCAGAAAATAAACATGCTTTTAGGCCTTGTGGTAGTGGAATAGATTGGATAAAAGTTGTCTATTTAGGATAAATACTATCTGTTAGATATATGCCAAATGATAATTCCGTCCGTTGACAAAAAAATTCACTTGCGGAGCATGACCGTTTATAATGTCATCAAAAACGGGTGAGCGATCAAGAACACTAATATCGTTTCAGTACCTTGAGGTCCAAAAAACGTATGCCAAATCCAGAGATCATATGAAGCCACCGCTTCTAAAACGATTGTGGGTTTTCCAGTACCACGTGAATATTGGCCTTTCCAAGCGGTTGGACAATTCTTCCACTCCCAATGCATACAGTTGATGCTTCCTATCATCCCGGAAAATCCGCATTGCTCTCCAACATAAAGCAGTCGTTGAAGATCCTCTTGTGTGGGCGGGCGTAGGTACTCATCGCCAAAGAGAATTATTATTACTTCAACAAAATTTTCCAAATAGAAATATGCAGTAGATGCACCGAGTCGGAGGTATTCGTCAACTGCATCAAGCACATCGCCATATGCCAAGATACAGATTGCTGCTATACATTTTTGAAGTGGAGAAAGGCCAGACCTTCCGAGAGCATCTTTCTTGCGTTGAAAATAAGGAATTTCATTTGACAGCCGATCAATATATAAGAACAATGGTTTGTTCATTTGAATATATTATCCGAGTATGTTGCATCTTCATGGAAATAATCGTTCCACAACCGAATATGGCCTTCTTCACGAGCTCTTTCAATAAAAATTCTTTTTTTTTCTTGACTTTCTTGGCTCTTGCTGATCGGGATAATCATTAAACAGATTATCAAATGCTTGATCAAAGTGTTGATCAAAATAATTATCAAAGTATTGATCAAATTATCATCACTAGTATTTTGGGAAAATGATGCCATAAAGAAATGAAGAAAAGAAGAACAAAAGAAGAAGAAAAGAAGCGTAATGACTTTGCTTATGAAAAGAAGGAATAAGAGTAACGACTTTGCTTATAAAAAGAAGAAATTAAAGTAATGCCTTTGCTTATGAAACGAAGAAAGAAGAGAAATGAAATTGCTTATGATATGAAATAGAAGATTGCATCATTATATATAGAAGTCGACATTAACTCTTGTGGTGGCAAACAAAAGTAAAACATGTGGTCATTCAAAATACAACAATGGGATATTTTTGCATAAAGCTAACACATGCGATATTATTGTGGTAATTTTGTGCCGACATGTTGTCTATAACCTTGTTTGGTTGTGCCGACACCGCATAACCTGAAAAAAAATAAAGAAAATATTATCTATACAAATAACTAAAAAGAAGATAGCTATACGTGTACAACTAAGCAGTAAAGTAAACCAAGGATTCATCAAACCAAAAGTAAATCAATTTAACCAACATCATAAACTTGATTCAAAAGAAACATAATATAACTTCAAACATAAAAGTACCCGAATGCAAACAGAATATTAAACATACTTTCACACATACTTGACTCAAAAGAAACAAAATACAACTTCCCACGACAGCTTAAGTAGAGAAACACTTGAAAAACTAAAACCAGAGCTAAAACTTCAACTACACAAACACAAAAGGCCCTCAAACACCAAACAACTCTGTGATCAGCTTTCCCTTTAAAGCTTCTTCACATTCGCTTAGAGGTTCTTTCTTGCCAATGAGGCCCTCAAGTAGAGCCATCTTAGATAGCTCTTTTTTCATCACCAAATCTTTCTCCCTGATGTCCCACATGACTTGAAACTCAAGTAGAGCCTCTTGCTTATGCCGTGTGCCTTTTTCCTCTGCCGTTTTTTTCTTGCCTCTCCCTTTAGCGGCCTTAACACCTTCTGGCCACTTTGCTGCTTCATCATCATCCTCCTTAGCCGTCTCATCCTCCTTAGCCGTATCCTCACCTCTTCTCCTTTTTAATACTTCTCCAACCTTTGAAGAAGAGATTTCACACCATTTTTGATCATTTCTCAGCTCCTTCCAGGTTCTTTTGTCTCTGTGCTCTGATACACCACCTCCTTTAGTACACTGAGTGCTATATGGTGGGACTTGGTCGAGGGTTTGGTATGGATCATATGCCACATTCTCTTGTTGACTGTATAACAGATCAACAAAGTTGGAAGTGGGAATGTAAGGATTTGTAGACATAAGTGAAGGAAGAGAGAAATAGAACAAGGAAGATTGAAGATATGGAATGAAAGAAGAGAGAAAGATAACAAGGAAGGAATGAAGAGAGAAAGAGAACAATGAAGAATAACAAAAGGAATGAAGGAAGAGAAAAAAAGAACAGGGAACTATGTTTGGTAAAAGGAATTTACCAAGAGAAATAGAGAAAGAGCAGAGGGCTTGATCGCCGGTTTTATTACAATGCTCTTAGAGCATTAATCATCAATAAAGAGAAGAAGGCTTGAATGCCAATTAGACATATATCTAGCAGCTTGATTCTTTATTACAAGCCATCAAAACACCTAACCATAAATCCATTACTAACCATAAATCCATTCATATCCATAAATCCATTCCTAAACACCTATATGCTATAAACTACTATGCACTTATTACCTGAAGAGCTTCTGAAGACACTAGCTCAATCTCCACCTTCCATACGTCTTTCACCATCAATTACCTGCATATTTAATACAAACATATATCTCATTAAGAAACTTCTCACTAGATACACATTGCAACTCGCAAAAAACATTTAAACTCTTCTAAAACTAACTATCATTAAACTCAACAAACCATTGATCACCGAATAGACAGATATCTATAAAACTGTTTCTTTATTAAAAACCATCTAACCATTCATCACCATTCCTAACCATAAATCCAATATTACCTAATACCTATTAGCTAAAGTCTACTTTGCTTTTAATACATACACATACCTGTAGAGCTTCCGAAGACAATAGCAGAAGAAAGATCGATTTGCTACTTTTTGGTTCCACCTGCCATATTAAATACATACATTTCATTAACTCTGCAGATGATATATCCCATTGCTACAAAAATAAAAGAAAAAGAAGCAACTTAACTCTGCAGATGACTTGAACCTTCTCTCTTCATTATCAGCAACTCATCATTCTTATCAAATATATCGGTTAGCACACAATGGTTCTTCCTAAGACTTGTCATGTTCCTAAACTAACTCGCAACCAACTCGCAACACACCAAAATACAAACACACAAAATACAAAGGGGTTAAGTTTTGTCTCGCAACACACAAAATACAAACACAGAAACCAAACGCAACCCATACAGCAAATCAAAACAAGAAGCCATAATGAAAAAGGCTAAGGGAGATGTGTATTACCTGAAACTAAAAGAAGCCATAATCATCATTTTCATTGACTCGTGAAGCTTTGTCTCCAGCCTAATTTTCTCTTTGAATCTACAGCCACCACGGATGATCAACACATACGTGTTCTTCTTCCACAGTCACCATGTTCGCCAAATCCGAGCAAACCCATTTGATCTCAATACAGACAAATTCAAAATGTTATTCTCCCAACCAAAATCAAAAGCCCGAACTAGCAAAAAATATTGCAAGTTTCCAACATGCAATCCAAACACTAATCCAATATTTTGGCAACACTTCGTAAAATGCTATCAATTTCTACAGACATCCAGAAAAACAATATACCTGAAACAAATTGGTAAAGAAGGAATGACTAGAAGTGAGGAAACTTACCGATACTGGCTTGGATATTGTCGATTGAGGATTTAGACATCGGAGAAGGAGAGCTGATATCGGAGAAGGGGAGATGATATCGGAGAAGGAGATAGAGAAGAATCGATGATATCGAAGATTGATCATTTTTTTTTCTGAAGACGAAGAGAGAAATTGGGTCGATTTGAGTTTGGGACGCTAGAGGAGTGACATCTGGCAGGAAGAAACTGTTTCTTCTTTGCCCAGAACAATGGACGTCCTTCTTTTTTTTTCATTTAAAATTTTTTTGGGCCTTTTAATCAAAAAAGGAACAACAAGAAACCCAACAAGAGACCCCAATAAACATGCTTTAAAAATTTTCTAATTTTTTAAAAAATTAAAAATTTTAAAAGGCAAAATTTTGCAAAACATGTTTTACTTCCGTTTCTTTACTATAAAACTCCAATTGCCCACTTCTTGTAAACTATATTGAAGAGATTTTTAGGTTTTAAAGTCACAACTTTTTTTCTTAAAACAAAAGTTTTTACAATTTAACTTTAAAGTAAAACTCTAAAATATCAGCATATACCAAGCAACCCTACAGCATGACTTAAGAAACAACTTGCAATTCAAAAGAATATCCAATCTAATATTTTTTTATTATTATTTTTACAGTCCAAAAAGCCTCGTTATAGAAAAGATGTTGTAAGGACTGTAGTAAAACCTTTTGAAGTCTCAAAAGTGCAAACCCAACCAGAGCTCTTCTTTTGTGATCATAAAAAATGTTTGGTTTAAGTTTTTTATTTAAAAAAGGTATTTAACATTTTAGTGGAAAAAACTTACAACTAAAGATGAATTGAATAAAAACCACTCAACTATTTTTGTAATGTAAAAATCCTTTAAACTATGTTTTTTAAGTATTTTAGCCCCTTCGAAAACATAACCATTAAATCAGAATGTGCTACCATCACAATAAAACAAAACATTTTTAATGTGTTAGAAAATGACATGACCTTTTTGCAAAAAAAAAAAAAATCCTGAAAACCTAATTTTGAAAATTCTTTAGTTTCGGCAAGAACCAGAATTCAATTACCGATTCTATGTCACACACATTACAACTATCAATTTTATGTCCTTAACATAATACTCAGCACTAAAACTTATGAACGAAATCAGGTGTCCATTTAATTTGTCGTCTCAGCAATAACCTTATATCACGATACATGGATGGGTTTATAAAGAAGCAAAGTCGTTAAATAATGAAGAAGATAAATCGTTAAACATTGATAAAAACACAGTTATCTCATCATCTTTGAAGCTCCAGATTCGAGAATCATTCTCCAATTTGCACAATCCTTCACCCCTATTCAGAGATATCTTTCTTCCAATTTAGCGGATTTACTCTCAAATCCGTTCTAATCCACATAATAAATCATCCCCAGTCTCTTGCAATTGACTTCTAAGCCACAAAAAGTTCAGAGAATAACACTCCACAAAATTAGGGTTCATCAATTTAGGTTAAACTTTAAAGAATTTGGGAATTTTAGAGTTAGATTAATTTGGGGGGGGGGGTTAAAATCAGATTTTTAAAAACCGTACTGTTTTGTTTTATAAAATTTGTGTTGTTTAAGTGTGGTGTATGTCGGCTTTTTACAAAACAAAAACATTCTGTTTTGATTTGACGGCCGGAAGAATTAAATCGTTAACAAAACTTAGTTGAAAATTTTTTACATTATTAAAAAAGTTGAGGGGTTTCTACTCTATTTATTTTTAGTTGAGGGATTTTTTCACTAAAACCCCGTTATTAGAAAATTGATTCTTACCTACACGAATTATAGGAAAATGCATGTCCACACATCTAAACTAACACAATGTATTGATAACTACATCAAAAATTGATATATTATGGCCACACATCCAAATAAACATGGATCATATGCGTAACACCATAACTATCAAAAACAATTTCTGCTTGGATACACTATTATATTCGACTAACACAGGAGTTGATCTGTGTTGAGTGGAAAAACATACCAACTAAATTCTAAATCGAAAGCATTCAGATCTAAACTAAGCCAACTAGGCCTAACTGTAATAAAAATACACCCAAATCTCACTCATTGATTACGATCTAACCCAATTTTGTTTTTGATGGTTATGATGTTAGCTATATGACACATGTTTATTTGGATTTGTGGCCATGCTATATTAATTGTTAGTCTTCAGGAAGTTTGGTAGTTTTTAAATAGTGACATTTTCATAGTACTGAAACAACTCATTAGACATAGAAGTATGAGAGAAAAAAAGAGAGAGAGTAATCATAAGAGGACGAGAAATAGAGAAAATCAATAGTTAATCTTTTTGTTTTTACTACTTTTTCGATTTTTTTTTCCTCCTTCAAGACTCATATACATCTTGTTTTTTTTTTAAATGAAAGATAGAATGATATATATATATATATATTTTTTTTTAAAAACATAGATTTTTTGCTGCACATAGTGATATTTAAATTTTTATAAACAGATATTTTAAAATACATGTATTCAAAATACTTGCACACTACATATACGTATATTACATTCATGTATACTACATATATATACACTAAATATAAATACTACATTCATGTACATTAAATATGTGAATACTATACAAGTATTCTATATATATAAATCTGCGTATACAATTTTCATGTATACTACATATATTTATCAAAAAAAAGTATACTAAGTACAAGAAGACTCTAATGCTGAGAGAGGGTTTCGTCTAAGCAGATCAGAAGTAACGAAGCCCATAAGTAATCCGTCAGGCCCAAAAGTTGAAAGGAAAAGGAGCATCACGTGGCGCGCGCGTGAGGTTTTCCCAAAACGGTTTTAAACAGAGATGGTTTGGTGAAGACTCTGTTTCTACTTGAAGAAGAAAGGTTGCAGAGCCAAGTTTGGACTATTCTCTAAGGTCGGCTATAGGGTTACAGACTAAAGCATGCGTGGTTTGTAGTAGGTGGTAGTAAGGTGTATAAAACCAAAGAGATTCTAGTGGATTCCGGGTATCAGATCCCGGCGACAGTAGGGTTCAAGTTTATGACCCGAAGTCGTTAAAAGCTTCTGTGTTTTTTACTTTTCTGCAAGTTCTTTCTCATTTCTTTAAAACGCAAACCGATCGAACATAAGAGAGAGAGAGCGAGCTTGAGTGATTAAAGAATACAAAACATCATCGTATTGTCTTTAATCCTAACAATTATAAATTAAATTTTGACTCATCAGCATTGGGCTGTAGCAGTAAATGGATTTATTGGATCATGAGTTGTGTGGAATCTGTGTCATACTCTGTTTTAATCAATGGTCGACCATATGGTTTGATTTCATACATTGGTCAGTCCATCTATTAACCATATCTTTTTCAAGGATGATAGCCGTTTTGTATACAAAGCAATGAAAGAGAATTGTATTAAATTAATATCTTTTTTTGGCAATGTATGAAAGTCTGTTGGGACAGAACAGTCAGACGACAAATTTTGGAACGATAGTTGAAGAGGACCATAAGGAATGGATTAAAAGCATAACACAGGTTTCCCAAGAAGAAGGCTAATGTGTTTATCTCAGAATGCTGAAATTTCTTGGCGGATCCAAGCAATAACTGCTAGGATACATCACTCACAAACTAAAGTCTCGTTTAGCATGATGGTATGCTAAGAAATGCCTCCTAATGTGGAAAATAAATGGTTTGAAATCAGTGGACATGGCAAATGTCGGTTTATGCAATGTCATGTTTAAAGTATCCGATACACCCATTTAACAAACTTACTAATGCAATGATGGATTTATGGTGGCAACATCTAGATTATAAGAGGAAAATACAATGAATAGCTTGGGAAGCCTTACATTGGCAAACAATCTATGTGGTAATTTTTTCAAAGACATAGTCTTATTCAATCAGTCATTATTGGCAAAACAAATACGTCGACGTCAATTGAAGAAGCTTCCTAGTGCAATGATGGATTTATGGTGGAAAATTTTATATTATTAGAGAAAATTAAAACAATGTATATCTTGGGATGCCTTACTTTGGCAAACAATCTTTGTGATATTTTCTTTCAAAGACTTAATCTTATTCAATCAGACATTATTGGCAGAAAAATACGTCGAGGATGCTTCATGATATTCAGAAAGTCTTTTTTCAGCCGGTTTTAAGAGTACATCATATGTTTTCAGGGACATATTACCAGATCTGCTTGGGTACCAACCTTCTTATCCCTAGGAAAGTATTTTGTTTGGGTGTGAACTTCGAAATGGGGACTTAAAAGAAGACTCAAGTATGGATAGATAACTGGATCTATGATTGGACTGCTCGTTGACCTGTAGGTCTCCAACTCCTCGTGAACATAATTATGAGAGTTTTTGATTTGATTGATCATACGAGAAGGGACTTGAATATTAAAATTCTTAAAGAGACTTTTCCATCAGAGATATCAGTTTCATTAGGCAACATCAGCCTTTTGTAGCCGTATAGACTAATATGTGTGGGCTGGTGCAAAACATGGAGTATATTATGTGCGATCTGGATATAAAGTTCTTACAAGAAGCAACTACCATGAGCTTCTTGGGTGATGAGAGATGCTAACAACATAGTATATTTTCATAGCCGAAGGTCATTTTCACAAGTAAGTTCATGTTTTCTTGTAAAAATAAGAAGTTGGGAATGGTCTTTAGAAAGCATGATCTGGCCTATATGGATAATGTTGCATTTTTTTGTAACCTCCATAGATGTGATTGCAGCTTAAATCAAACCAAGAACTTTTGGCTTATGTTCAAGATCATTTAAATTGGGATTCCTCTAGGAATTCTCAGAACAAAACTGAACTTCATCTCTCTTCGTATGTGGCTCAAGGAGAACTTTGGAGGTTAAGAGATTTTTTTCAAACTAGTGTTGTAGTGCACATGGCTTGATCAAACTATGTGTCGTTTATCACATTTTCTTGCTTATAGAGATTACCTCACTAAGATTCGTATATTGGGTTATGTGACTTATGTCCTTTTGGTCAGATTGTATTGGGTATGATATTGGGAACTTGAGTGTATCTCACCCATTTTCCTTGTCACTTACGCTTATGCTCCCGACATGGATATCCCAAAGCGCAAAGACGATATATGTTCCCTGGCGGATTACTCACTGTTGGGTGGTCCGAACGGCCATACACTTATCTTTCC